ATATATATATATATATATATATTAAAAAATAAAAATATTTTATTAAATTAAATTAATTTAATAAGTTCACAACAAAGCAGGATCTATTGTTTCCAACCGCTTAAGCGTAGACTTGAAGTTCAAACGACCGAGATCGTATCACTTTCCTTCATTTTCCCACGGTTTCTCTCTCATTTTCTCTCACTTTCTGGCCCCGGCAAATTCCGACGAACGGTCTCCAGCAAGAGAAGGTTAGTTCTGTTCTTCACTTCGCGGCTTTACTCGCTTGAAATCGGTTGTTTTTGCGTCCTTGAAATGTCTCTTGCTCTTTGCACTTGTTTGTGGTTTGTTTACTGAAATCGAAGCTGCGAATTTTTGTGTTTAGTTGTTAAAATTTCAGCTTAATGCGTTCAGATCTGGTATAGATACTATTGTCGTACTCAAGATACTGTAATGGCGGCTCTGATAATTTTAGCTTGAAATTAGGCTTTGAATCTGTAGAAAAACTGCTACGACGGAGTTGTGGAAGTGCAAATTATAGATCAAATCGAGTGAGAAAATTGGGCTTGGAAGTACCGGTAAAGCAATATTACCTTGTTTACAACTCTTTTCAAATTTTTTTTTGTTTGTTTGTTTGTTTTTGGAGCTCTATTTGTTTAACATTTGCTGTACAGTACTTCTGCTTTTTATTTTTATTTTTAAATTTTTTTATTTGTAGTGAAAGCGAATTTTGAGATCTGAAATTCGAGTGCGTCGTCCAAGTTTCATAGGAGGGTCACCTGATTTTGAGTGATCCAACTTGTATTTTGTAATCAATGATTGTTCTTCCATATTTTTAGGTCTTCTTGTTCAGTTTTATTATGCGTATATTACAATTAAAATAAGCCTAACCAAAATATCAAGTATGTGCTTACCATGAAATCATGAAAATTGATTTTTCTGTTCAAAACTTGGGGGCTTGAATGTGTTTATGGAGTTTATTATTTTGTGTCCAGCTAGCTACTGGCCTTTTGAGCTGCCATTTTTATTGGAATAGGGTTGCCGTTGCCGCCCTTAAATTGCTCAGTATTGGGAATTTCGGATCATTTCAATTCTTTTAATTTTTTTTTTTGTTGGTTTCTTTCAAGAATAGGGACTAATCATGTTTTGGTAACATATTTGGGTACCATACGACGTGAGATGAAATGTAGACAAAAGGTGCTCGGATTGAGTATCTGTCCAAGTCAGCCTAAGGTGTAGAGAGATTTATCCAAGCCTGAGCCCGACACCGAGCCCACATTTTATCTCACTTCATATATGTTACCAAAATGCAATCAATCCCTATCCCCTGACAACAACCAAAAAAGAAAAAGAAAAAAAGAGCATTGAAATGATCTCAATACTATGCTGTTTAATGGGATAGCAATGCCCCATGAGGGAAGCAGCAACCCCCTTCACCCATTTTTATAGATGCATGTAGAGTGTGTTTGGATGTCCTGTGGAACTAAATGCTTCTATTGTCATTCACAATCGCATAGCAATTAAATGTCTAGATCCTTCTTCATGAATAGAGCTGTTAAGGAAAATAATAATCAAGAATCAAGAGAACTGATAATTAGTTAGTTATTTGCTTAATTACTCCTCCTACTCCCCCCCCCCCCCTTATATTTGCAAAGAACTTCAATTACAAAGAAATAAATAGGAATTTTCTTAAAAAATGAAGGGATTCAAAATTTTCAGACATCCAAACATGTGCATACTAATTGTTTTAATTTTCTAATCCTTTACCATTAAAGGACAGATTTGCAGTTTATTTCCAGCATTATCTGATGAATTCATTGATCCTATAGATTAATGATAAAGTTCGTGAGTCATGACCATTTATTGATGTACTTAAGATCATAAAGTTGAGTTAAAAGAAGAAAAAAAAAGGAGAGGAAGGAAACATGTGATAGAACAGCAGCAAATGCATTGAGTGGTTTAACCTCTAGCCTCGTAGCCAGCCGTTTTTGTCAAAAGATAACAGGATGATATGTATGTCATTGCCTCTGTCCTGGGAAAACATGAGGTTGAGGCATAATTATACTGTGATTGACTTGTACGATACACAAACATAAATATTTTTTTTCAACGTCTCTGAAATGATTCTATCAGAGACTACTTGCTTGCGTCCAACTCTATTTTTGTTTATGGTCTGCTTCCTTATAGTGAAATGAAATCTGAAGTGTTTTTCTTTAGGTGATTTTGTCTTTTGATATGTGACATTTTTTTGTACACATGCTTATGTAGAAAATTACTTATTTTTTTCCTCTCTTACCTTTTGGTACAGGATTGGAACTTTACAGAGAAGTTTGAAGGGTGGTTGGTTTGGATCTGAGGGCTTAGTCATATGGTCCTCATCTCAGACGCATTGTGAATAATTTTTCATTTAGTATTCACATTTGATGCAGAACTTTTGGATAATCTATCTGTAAAGCCATGCCAGAAAACATAGTAGTTAACCCTTACAGACAGCAGGCTCAGTATTGGAAGATCTGAATTAATGTTTCACGATTTAGGATCTTGTTTGTTTCGTGCTGAGGAAGTTCAACTATATGTTATTCATCATTCCTCACCAGTGCGCTGACTCCGTGGAATCGTCTCAGGATGATGGTTGGTGATCTATTGGTTCTTCACAAGTTCAATTACTATGGAGTTCAGTCCTAAAACCATCAATACATATTGGTTTTGGGCAAAAATGAAGAAATGGTATGTAGGCATTTTAATTGCATCCTTGTTTATGTTGCTCATTCTAATGTACGGAGTCATGAAAAATCCTGTTGGTGAAAATTATCTGTCAAATCCCTTCTACAATACAACAAATCCTCTTGAGTGGATTAATTCTGTAGCTCCACCTGTAGTTCAGATTCCAGAGACTGGTTCTAAAGTGGTTTCTGCCAATACCATAATCTCCAGTCTCTTTCAACCGAGGAACATCTCCATTGAAGAGCAGCAAACTATGCAAACATGGAACCATCTGAAACACTTAATAGGCAATGCTCAGGTTTTACCTAATGCAGTAGAGGCAATTAAGGAAGCTGGACTTGCATGGAATAGCCTTATGGCATCAGTTGAAGAGGAAAGACTTGCCTATGGAAATGAAAGTTCCCATCGGAGAGGAAAAGACAAACAATGTCCTCATTTTCTAAGTAAAATGAATGCCACAGGGCTTGATGATGGTGGTTTTAAGTTGCAGGTTCCTTGTGGACTGACTCAGGGTTCTTCCATTACTATTATTGGCATTCCAAATGGTCTTCTTGGTAATTTTCGAATTGACCTAACTGGGGAACCACTTCCAGGAGAGCCTGATCCGCCCATTATTTTGCATTACAATGTTAGGCTTCATGGTGATAAGATAACTGAGGACCCTGTAATTGTACAAAATACATGGACTGTTGCTCATGATTGGGGTGAAGAGGAGCGGTGTCCATCACCTGACCCTGGGAAGGTTAAGAAAGGTAAAGTTACCTAGAAAATTTATCCATCACATTTTCCATTTATTGGGTGAGGATGTATCTATCGTGATTACTTCTTAACTGGAGATGCAGTTGCTGTATTCATGCTTGTGATATACTTCCAATTAAGGTCACGATTCATTCTCTTTCATCCAATGTTGTTGTTTTTGCCATATGTGTGTTACTTGTATGAAAAACTTGGGTATTGCGGTCCGTTTGGCAGCCAATTTTTTGGCTAAAAATCTGAAAAAGCCAAAATGTCATCTCATACACATCAAGTAATCACTTTTTCCCTCACAACTATCTATTCAACTAAAAAACCATTCCAAACACACTAAGGCCTAGTTTGGAAAGACTAAATAAGTGCACTTTTTGACTTTTTTTGTATTATGTGTAGAAAAAATAGAGAGGAGATGTTGATTGATGTGACCCAAAAAAGATAAAAAGATGAAATAAGTGCACTTTTGGCTAAACTAAAAAAGTGCACTTATTTCATCTTTTTATCTTTTTTGGGTCACATCAATCAACATCTCCTCTCTACTTTTTCTACACATAATACAAGAAAAGTAAAAAAAGTGCACTTATTTAGTCTTCCCAAACTTGGCCTAACTTTTTTCACCTCATAAAAAAAACCAAAAAGCCACTAAAAGCCAAGTTGCCAAACGGGCACAGAGTGTGCCCATTCAGATTGAACTCAGTAGTTTGAAACATGATGGCTGACATTCTCTTGTACATATGATATTGTTAGTGGTATTTGAAATTGCATTCAGTGTGTTTAGTTTGAGTTTTTTGAATTAAGTTTTTTGAAAATTGTATTTTAGTTTTCGTGTTTTTAGTGAATGTTTTTTAAATTTTAAACATTTTTTTTTTACTTTTTAGATGCACCTTACTTAGATGTATCTAAAAAGCAAAAAAATTGTGAAAAAATATTTTAAAAAATTAATAAATACATAAAAATACAAACAATGTACTGAATACTCGTATTTTTTTTTTGTATTTTGGGTATTTAGTGAACTTTTAAAAGGTTTTCTTCACAAATTTTTTACTTATTAGATACATCTAAGTTAGGTATGTCTAAAAATTTAAAAATTGCTTAAAATATTAAAAAAATCAGTAAAAACAAAAAAACACGGAAAATAAGAAAGTAGAATTTTCTGAAAAGTATTTTTTGAAAAGTGAAACCAAGCATTGCGTTTTTTTGGTTTTTCATAACAAAGCTAGTTTTGTATCAGCTACAAAGCATTTTGAATGCATTGGTACGCATCATTAATCATTTGCATATAAATGTGAAAGACATTTTCTAGTTGAATTATCATATATGTTTCTCTTATCAGTTTTTGCGTAGGTCATAGTCATATAGAACAGAAGGGTTCTGTATGAATTGATACTGACTTTACAATTGCTTGTCATTTTACATCTTTGTGTCCCTTTAACAGTGTATCATGTACTGTGTTCCATTTTGATAACTCTGTTTAGTTGTATTTGTCAGTGGATGAGTTGGATCAGTGCAACAAGATTGTAGGTAAAGATGATTTGGCAGCTAGTAGGCGCTTCAATGGTTCAAGAAAGTTTTCAATTGTCCCAGAAGGATCTAAGACAAGAACATATTTCCCTTTTAAGCAAGGTCATCTTTCTGTTGCAACGTTTAGAGTGGGAACAGAAGGAATCCAGATGACAGTTGATGGAAAGCACATAACATCCTTTGCTTTTCGTGAAGTAATTTCTCTCTTTTCTTAGTTGAGTTGCTTGTTGAATTTTTCCTAAAAAAGCATCAAAATAAAAATTTTGGGGGGTAATTAATTGCTTTCCTGCCTGGATTTATCTATTCAGACTTTGGAGCCATGGCTGGTTAGTGAAGTAAGGATTTTGGGAGACATAAAGTTAGTGTCTGTCGTGGCCAGTGGTTTACCAACATCAGAGGATTTAGAGCACATAATTGACTTGGAAGCACTCATATCACCACCTCTTCATTCTCGAAGGTCATTGGATCTCTTCATAGGTGTTTTCTCTACAGCAAACAATTTTAAACGTAGGATGGCTGTTCGAAGGACATGGATGCAGTTTCCTGCAGTGCGGTCTGGGGCAGTTGCTGTGCGCTTTTTTGTTGGTTTGGTGAGCATTGCAGTTCCCCGCCCCCCACCACCCCCAATTTTGAGTACAGCAATGGTTATTTAGATTGTTATATTGGTTTTGTTGTAAATTACTAAAAAGTATATTTAGATCAAGAGCACTAGGATGTCATTGCCCAAAAGGGAAATTTTTTTTATGTACTATATGACATTCTTTCAAAGAATTTACAATAAAAAAAATGATCCTAACTGGGTGAAATCCCACAATTTAAAGCAATCTGGTTACGAGGGACAGGACCCCCACTTTGGTTGGTCCTCTGTGGTCTTGAATTTTTGCTTCCAACTAGGATGCAAATAAAATAGGGTGCTTATGGTGCTCATAACTGAAATATGTGAGGTGTTGTGAAAAGTTCCACAGAGGACCTATGGGGATGGCCCTATGGGGGATTTCTTGAACTTAGGACCTCATTTCCTATGCAGGTTCCTTTGCGTTGAGTTTGAGTATTATTTCTGTCTTGATGCAAGCCTGTCGCTGAAGTATTTGTCTGTTTGTATTGCAGCATAAAAACAAGATGGTGAATGAGGAACTCTGGAATGAAGCACAGACATATCGAGACATACAGCTGATGCCGTTTGTTGACTACTACAGCCTTATCACCTGGAAGACTGTAGCTATCTGCATCTTTGGGGTAAGGTACTGTTTTTCCTTGACAAGGAGAATTCTCCGTTTGCCTCAATGTCATTGACCTCATCTCTTGGACAGACTGAGGTCGTCTCCGCAAAGTTTGTCATGAAAACAGATGACGATGCATTTGTTCGCGTGGATGAAGTGCTCGCTTCTTTAAACAGGATAAATGTGACTCATGGGTTGCTTTATGGTCTCATCAACTCGGATTCCAAACCTCATCGGAATCCTGAAAGCAAGTGGTATATTAGTAATGAGGTAACTATTTTCTCAATTGCACTTCAACATTCTCAATTCTGTTTGCTTGGAAAGGTCAAACTTCAAAGTAGAGGATAAACTCTATGAATGCAGTTTTATTGACTGTTATTTTGGCCAGAACCACGGTAACAACTATGGGGTTAGGAAAATTGTTGCAACCTATAATATTGAAATAAGGAAAAGAGATCACGAAAAATCATCATTACATGAATGCAATGTCAGAAAAAGATACTTGGAATTTCACAGGAATTTTGTGAATGATTTATAGTTTTTTGCTTTAGTCTAGTATGCGTGACCCATTCATTTGAGAATTATTGTATTTATACTTTAATTTTTGCGTTTGGCTGACCTGTACCATGAGACAATACAAAATTAGCCATCAAGTTTGAGCTTTTTTTTTGAAAATTCCCTCCTGAGGTGCAATTAACTTGGGAATTTAGGGTTAATTTTAATTTTAATTTTAATTTTAATTTTTTTTTTTCTGTATTCATGGTTGAGGATTTATAAAGAAAATGACACCGGCTTTTGCTAATCGCTTATTATGGTTCACTCTCTTCTTGTTTGTGTTGCTTAAGGAATGGGCTGGTGAGAAGTACCCTCCTTGGGCACATGGCCCCGGCTACGTTGTGTCACGTGACATAGCGAAGGCAGTCTATAAGAGACATAAAAAGGGTGACTTGAAGGTAAAGAAAATAATAATTCGTTCTCCCTCCCCATGTGTGTCCTGTCTTATTTTTGAAGATGTTTTTGTTATATTGGACTCCTTGACAAAAATACATATTGTAATCTGAAAATATATATATGCTTACAGATGTTTAAGCTAGAAGACGTGGCAATGGGCATCTGGATTGACAATATGAAGAAGGGAGGTTTGGAAGTAAGGTACGAGAAGGACGAGAGGATCTTTAACGAGGGATGTAAAGACGGTTATGTCATTGCACACTACCAAGGTCCGAGGGAGATGCTGTGTTTATGGCAGAAACTTCAAGAAACGAAACGTGCTAGATGCTGTGGCGAACAATAATCATAGAGCTACACAAGTCATTTTTTGAAGCAAAAAATCTTACTGAGTAATCATGGTTGCTGGCACGTAACAGAGATTCTACTGTCTCAAGAGGAGATGGGACATTAATCATACAAAAAGTGGTACTCACCATTTCATAAATAGGAATTTCGAGTAGTAAAAAAAGCATATCGGTAGGCTAGTTTTTAGAATTTGTTATATGATACAATGCTGCAGATTTTGCGCGGCGATGAAGGATCTGTAACATATGTAGAGTGAGAGAGAAATGTCCCTTTGTATAGAATGTACGCATTAATCGCATATAGTAGGGCGACATGTCATTTTCGGTACACCGGTCAGTATGTTTCTATTTGATACATTTTTTCTTCTTTCTAAATGATACGCTCTTTAATCATCTGCTTTGTTGCTGGGGTTTTTAGATTGTTGGAAAGCAAAGAAAGAAAAGGAAAGAAAATTTGTTGATGGGTGTTTACCCAAACTTCATTTCCAGTTTATTTTATTTTTTATTGATTGATAAGATAATGAAAAATGTGACGGCCAAATGTTTTATTAAATATTTTACTAAGGTTTCGTTTGGGAATAGGCTAATTTAGTAATTTTTTGACTATTTGGCTAAAATATGAGCTAAAAAAATTAGTATGTTTGGGATGATTTTTTGACTTTTTATGAAAAGATGTGCAAAAAGTAGAGAGAAAAGAGAATTTTTGATTTTTTGGTATGAATTGTTGGTTTTCTGACTTTTTTAGTAATTTTTTGACTTTTTGACTAAATTGGTTTGTTGCCAAATGAGGCCTAAATGTCCTATATAGGTGTGAGACTCACATAATATGGGTTTCATGTGAGCCTCATATCTATGTGAGACATTTAGTAGAATATTTGAAAAAATATCTGAAATTTCTAATATTACTTTAAGATGATATTACTGTTGTTTTTTTTTCGTATTATTGTTAATATTATTATTATTGTCGTTTCTAGAGGCCCGAAAATCACATATAGGTCTAAATCCAATTGGTTTCTAGAGCCCCACAATGACCAAAACAAATAAAATGAAAAAGAAAAATGCTTGAGAGCATTAGAAATAGAGCACTAGAAGGAGCACTACTGATGTGACAGTGGACCCCGCTCGCTTTCTATGCCTTGTTTCTTTTTTTTTTTCTTTTTTTTTTATTATCATTCCCAATACATTAGTGCTATTAGTGGTGTATTTTTTAGTGGTCTAAATCATTGTTGAATGAAAAATAATCACATGATAAACTCTTCAACCATAAGCATCGGTCTTCCTCTACTCAAAAGGAGCCCAAAATGATTTTTTTTTTTATTATTATTTAAATTAGGAATATAGAAAGGTATCATAAAATTGGACAATCTTGTCATATAATTTGATGAGAAGGTTGTGTTCCATGATCGTTTTCTGTGGGAATAGAATTGTCAAAAATTTATTATCTTATCCTTGATTAGTTTTCTTTTTGTGAGTCATACTATGTAAGATAGTTGTATTTGATTTTGTAATTGATTTTTGTACAAATAAAAGAATGGTTAACAATTTATTAACCATCATAAACAAAACAAACTACATATATTTCACACAAATACGACATTAATAATCTTGTTGAATCAAGTATCCGTTAATAACTAACTATTGCTAATCTTGTTCCACAGACCTAGAACACATTAGACCAACAAATTTACAGACACTTATCACTAGTCCCACCATGAAACAATAATAAGACCAGAGTTTTGACACCGATCACACAATCAAACACAATTAGTATTCATTAAATGTATAAATCTAACCCATTTAATTCTGTGATTGGATTTTGTGTATGTAAAAGAACTGAATTATGCTGCCATGCATCCAATGCCATATCTCGTCTTAGGAAAGATAAGAAACAGCCCACTGCAAATTATCCCCACCATTAACGGAAAACTCTCCATCACCTCCTCCATTTCCCCTTCCCTTCCTGGAATCAAACAGTCCGTAACTCGATGATCCGACAAAGCAATTGCAGCAAAAACCATCACAGACATGACTGCATGAACAAAATCATTGAAACCCACTATGTACCTCTCGTCTTTTGGCACTTCCAATCCAAGCCCGGCCTTAAACACAGCCAACCCTTTTGGAGTCACAAATCCATAGAAAACTTTCCCGTCTGGGCCCCGAAAACTGTCAGTGAAGTGGAAGAAAAAGCAGGAGAGAGTGCAGAGGCAGAGCAGGATGCTTATCATGAGGGTGGTTACATGGGAGCATTGCCCTGTGCCGTAGATGGTTGGGAGGACCATTTCGAAGGTGAGGAGGGTACCGGTTGGGAGGAAGTTCGCGAGCATTGAGGTTTTGGAGAGTGTTTTTTGGACCCCTTTGGATATGGCTTGTCTTTTTCGGTTAGGGCGTGGTGGTGGTGGTGAAGTGGTGGTTGGTGGTGGTTGTGGAGATGGGTATGTCGATTGATCATTGAGTTGGGGCGATGGGCTGTAGATTTTGATTCCGATTTCATCGGTTTGAATTTGATCCATTTTTGAGAGGAGGAGATAAGAATTGGATAAAGGCAAAGAGGGTAGTGAGTTTGGAAGTTTTGATGTTGTCTATTTGATCAAATATAAATGTTTTGTGGATGAGTAACTAGAAATTTGAATTTTAAAACGGTCAGTAACTGCTTCTCTCCTCCAAAAACCGTTGCCATCCCAGAGGCACTATTGTCAGGTCGACCTTGGCTGTTGCCAGGCAATCCAAAGGAACTTTAGTTAGGGGTGTTCACATACCAGTTTGATTTGGTTTTAAAATAAATCACCAACCAAACTAAATATCTACAACTCCAAAAATTTAGGAATCAAATTGAATCATAGAATTTTTGAAATCAAACCAAAACCAAATTGTAAAAAGCCATTCTAGTTTGGTTGTACGGTTTTAGATGAGAAATTTTAATAGTATATCCGTTCAATAATGATTCAATCTATATGAAAACATTTCAAAAAATTTCACAAGTATCCTTAAAAAATTTAGTAACTTCTCCAAATTAACTTTCTATAAAATGTGTAAACACACATCAATTTATTCATACTAAAATACTATATAAATGCAATTTTCAATAATATATATATATAAAGTACAAAAATCTTAGATAGGGAACAATTTGATTCGGTTACTGTGGGTTCTTTTGAGTCTTCAGGAATCAAATCGTAATCAACGGTTCTTGGTAATATGTCAAGAGTTTCACATGTTCTTCAAAAAATTGACACTTTGTAAATCAATAGTTCTGTTCATAGATTACAATGGATGAAGCTGCATTTTATTTACACCATAGTATTTCAACAATTTCACAAGCCTCTCCAAAATGAAATTTCATATTTCACAATGCACCATAATCATTGAATTCCCAATCATTGTTAACCAGGCTCATGAAGAACTAACTCGAGTCTTTCCTAACATGGCAAGAACCCATGACGAGAAACTGCAATCTCAAAGGCTTGCATCCTTTCTCCACAGGCAAATCCATTGCGATCATAAGATGATATTTCATTAATATTGAGATCGATGCAAGTCTTGACAAGTTCATCGCCAACACGCTCAGCAGCTTCCTGGGATTATCAAATTTTAGAAAAAGTCAGTCAACAAAGCACTTAATGAAAGAACCTTTTGGAGGAATAAGTGAAGGATACTTACAATGGTGGTGCACGGTGGATTCTCACGAATGGATCTCTGTAAAGTGCTTCCATAGTATAAACACTTCTTATTCTGGTCATCCACCAGCATTGCATACAATTGCTTTTCCGAACAGAATACTGAAAGCCGTGGTTTCGTAGGTGTGCCATTAAACTGATAAAATAGGACAAAATCAATGTTCTCACAAAGCACAGAGTAGAGTACCACAAGAGGTATATTATATCAATTTTCTCAGTGAAGTGCCAGAAAACAACTGTTTCACAATAACAGTCGGCAGTATCTTATTCTGTTGAACAAAATAATTAGTAACTTAACCCATTCAAAGCCTGATGAACATCGCATATATTTCAGGATGTGGATTGATAGGTCAAGGTGCAAGGTAGTATATCTATCCTACGATTCCTTCGTAACTTGAAGATAAACTGGAATAGGACTATCAAATGCGAAAGACAAAGGCAAAACATCCATCCAGAAAAGAAGGGAAACATTGTAATATGAAATCCTATGTAGTTAGACGAAACAAATTTGATCAAGGCTTGCTGAAATAAGAACTTCCATGTTAAAAGTTTCACTTTAATCTTACATTTGATGTGAAAATCAGCAGAAGAAGAACAAATTATCTGAAAGATACATTTATAGTCCATGTGATGTTCATCAGCTGGGAAAGAACCTTGTTGAGCTTGACTCTAGTCCGACTTTGTGAAATGACTTGAGAGGTGTAGGATAAGTGGGAGCCGGAAACAACAAAAGTGAAATACCATTACTTTTAATGTTATTTTACTTAGGCCCCATTTGGTGTAGCTGTTAAAACAGTTTATAGATTATAACTTAACAGATTATAGATTATGACTTTAATCAGAAGTTGTTAATCTGTTTTGTATAACTGTTGGATTATAGATTTAAGTTGCTAAGTAGTGTTTGTTAAATAAGGTGTAAAATAGCTTTTTCAATTAATTTTTATTTTTTGTTTGTATACATTTCTCATAAAAAATAATAATCATAATCTATAGTCCATTTGGGTCTTTTTCTATTTAAAAAAAAAATAAAAAATAAAAAATAAAAAAATCCAAGAGTATAACCATAAATTAACATGTTCACAGCAGAAACTGATAATCAGAAGTAAGGGGTGAGGCGAGAGTAACTATGACTCTCTTAAGGTAGCCAAATGCCTCGTCATCTAATTAGTGACGCACATGAATGGATTAACGAGATTCCCACTATCCTCGTCTACTATCCAGTGAAACCATAGCCAAGGGAATGGGCTTAGTAGAATTAGCAGGGAAAGAAGACCTTGTTGAGCTTGACTCTAGTCCGACTTTGTGAAATGACTTGAGAGGTGTAGGATAAGTGGGAGCCGGAAACAACAAAAGTGAAATACCATTACTTTTAATGTTATTTTACTTAGGCCCCGTTTGGTGTAGCTGTTAAAACAGTTTATAGATTATAGCTTAACAGATTATAGATTATGACTTTAATCAGAAGTTGTTAATCTGTTTTGTGTAACTGTTGGATTATAAATTTAAGTTGCTGAGTAGTGTTTGTTAAATAAGGTATAAAATAGCTTTTTCAATTAATTTTTATTTTTTGTTTTTCTACATTTCTCATAAAAAATAATAATCATAATCTATAGTCCATTTGGGTCTTTTTCTATTTTAAAAAAAAATAAAAAATAAAAAATAAAAAAATCCAAGAGTATAACCATAAATTAACATGTTCACAGCAGAAACTGATAATCAGAAGCAAGGGGTGAGCAGCTTCTCAGAATCAGCTTTTTTGAGTTAGAATAAGCTGTTAGAATCAGAAACTGTTTGAAATAAGTTTAACCAAACAGTTTAAAATAATTTTTTCAAAACTAAAAGCTACAAGTTAGCTTTGAAAAGCTGAAACAAACACCCCCTTATTCCGTGAATTGGAGGCGGGGCACTGCCCCTCTTTTTCGACCCAAGGCTCGCCTTGGCAGGCCGATCCGGGTGGAAGACATTGTCAAGTGGGGAGTTTGGCTGGGGCGGCACAAGAAGGCGGTATGAACCTTGTTTTCTTTTTCTTTCCTTTGACATATTAACAATGAATAAAGAACTACTTAGACTTTGACAGCATTTATAATTTTATACAGTTTCTCTAAAACATGCTCAGGGAATCAAATAACATATCGAAAAAAAAAAATACTAACAAGAGAAGCCCTACCTTTTTTCGTATTCTCCTATTGCGAATTTTTGCACTATCTTTCCGGGTATTTGCCCTTGCTTCAAACACCACCGGCTTCATAGATAAGCCTGCAGAAAATTAAAGGAGAAATGCAGCACTAAAAGATCAAGAACATGAACATTTCACAACTAGTCACAGTGCCAATCTTTCAAGCAATTGAAGAAGGGAATTTTGAAGTGCATCTTTACATATCAATATCTATATGTGTACATACATCAATCAATGACAAAAGAAAACTTGGTCAAAGAAAAGATGGGAGTAGAATACTTGAAATTCACTTACTTCTTGGACTCTTCATGGGAAGGAAATTAGAAGGATTTAAGTGGGTGCCAAACAGATCACAAGTCTTGAATTGTAATGCAATAAAATTCCCCAGGAGCATGACTATACTAGTGAAAATCAAGAGCCAAGATATGAATGAGAAACTACGAAACTACCACGCCTGTAAAATGATCACTTCAACAGCTAAATAAGTGCTATTTGTTCTGAAAAAAAAAAAATCAATTTGTCTCAGAGTAATATCATCGAACACCTTGTGTGCAGTCCTACCTTATTGGTTTGGTTTCTTTTACTCAATTGGTAGGAGGGGAAAAGAAAAAGATAAGTTGCATCAAATAGTGAAACTCGAATTCAAGCATTACTCAGCTTGTCTACCAAACCAACCCTCTATGGTCTCAATATGATAAGTCAATTAAATTATGTAGGTAAACAGTGATACTAGGAACCTTAAAAATAAATAAATAAATAAATAAACAAAACACTCAAAACTCAAGGATTGATCGCACAATAAATGTTTTAAATAAACACCTTTAATCTACTCTTCGTGATAAAAGTCTAAAATATTTTTTGGTCTCCAAACTTTTTCGTAGCCAAATACATAACATATTCAAAGGCAGAAATTCTAATTAGGCTGGGTATCTTTCAATTTTATTAATTGTTTATATAATTGTTGGCTTATTTTTCTTACGAAAGAAAATATCATTAATACGAGCGTGCCAGTAAGGATTGAAAAACCCTTACAGATTAAATTCAAGCCAATTATTAAACGATTGCGTTGACGGTTCTTTTACCTCAACAAAGAGGACTTCAAAATTGCCAAGTGTAGAAAAAAGAAAAATTAAAAGAAAAATGAGGGAGACGGAGAAAGACGATTGAGTAAACAATCAAAGTAATAATTACTTACATCTACTCCTATGCTTCGAAAATGAAGTGCATAAAATGCTTCGAAAAGAAAATGCTGAAAATAAATGCTTCGAAATATAAATCTATGTTAAACTACTCCTAAGATAAGGAAAATGATAAGAGATATTGAAATCAATTATCTTTGATTTGAATTCTGGATCATTATAATGTAGCCATTAATAGCTATTTATAGAGAAAAAAATACAGCAATAACTACTTAGTAACTGCCTATTTCTTCCATCTTCATTCTTGTCTTGCCACGTGTCCTTCCACTCATCCACTTTGTCCTTCATATTCTCTATCATCTCCATAACTTCTTTTAACTTCCAAATGAATAAGAGGATGCCACGTGTCCTACAATTATATAAAAAATAAAATTGCAGATTTATGGTGCTAACATTACCCCCCGCGACCCTTAAAAATGATATTTACTTGAATTTTTGAAGGGCCGAACCATGCACATGACTAACCTAAGCAACAAAGTGCTTCGAATGATATAACAACACCAATAAAGTGCTTCGAATGAGCATAAAATTATAACTAGAAGTTGCGAATTATATATATACGCATTGAAGGGATATTATTGCAGAAAAGTTTCGAAGGATAATCACATATTTTCAAGACAAAGCCAATGATTCACCTTAGCAAACTGTTACACATGCTAAATAACTAGCTTCGAAGGCGGTATAGAAGACTAAAATTATCATTCGAAGGTTGAAAATGCCAACAAAAGACAAATTATATCCTTGGAAATACTCGGCAAAGCTTCGAAGGTTCACAACTATCACTATTTTTTCTTCGAAACTGTTGTTAATGCAAGATGGAGTGCTTCGAAACTTACAAAATTATGGCAAAAGGGCTTTCGAAGCAACTTTTGGCCAACATTGTGGTTATTCAAATTTTGTATGTTTTGGTTAACACATAATTAATGAAAATATTAATTTTGTGCTTCGAACCAATTATTAATTCTTCGAAGACACCAAAACTGTTGTTCTTCGAACCAACTTATCATGCCAAATATAGAAGACTAAAATTATCATTCGAAGGTCGAAAATGCCAACAAAAGACGAATTATATCCTTGGAAATACTTGGCAAAGCTTCGAAGGTTCACAACTATCACTATTTTTTCTTCGAAACTGTTGTTAATGCAAAATGGAGTGCTTCGAAACTTACAAAATTATGGCAAAAGGGCTTTCGAAGCAACTTTTGGCCAACATTGTGGTTATTCAAATTTTGTATGTTTTGGTTAACACATAATTAATGAAAATATTAATTTTGTGCTTCGAACCAATTATTAATTCTTCGAAGACACCAAAACTGTTGTTCTTCGAACCAACTTATCATGCCAAAAATAGGCATTATTCGACAATTAATTAATTGCCATTTTACATATATTTGAAGGGAGATACACATTTCGAAAGTTTTCTCGTCGCATGTTACATTTCGAAGGTGTTTATTGATGACAAAACCACAATTCGAAAGTCACATATGTTACTAAAGGATTAAAGTCGTCCTTCGAAAGTGCTCATGACATCTCTTCGAACTAAATCCAAAGAGTTAGATTATGATGAAATTAGTTTGGCATTTTAACTAGCCATTAATGACTATTTCAATGAATAATCTACTTCGAAGTGTCTTGAGACATGCTTCGAAGGTAACCACAAAACCAAATGGTGATGGTTTTATGGATCAACTAATAACAATATTTTTGGCTCAATATATAGCAATAACGAAATATTATTTGTTAGCCATTCCATCAAAGTCAACGTTTGATGTGATCCACAAATCCAAAATGGATTTTGAATAACAAAAGTCATGGTATAGTGTGACCATGAAAATTCATACTTTTTGATATTTTGAAAAATGTCAAAAAAATTTGAATTCATGAACAGCGGTTTGCTCATTATTTTTGACCATGTTTGTTTTAAAAATATGACTTTTGTCGAATAGATTTTCATAATTATTTGGCAAAGTGGGTTGTTTTTCATGCTAGCCATTAATGGCTTATGAAAATCACCCATAGATATGTTATTTTCATGACTTGACTCTCTAAAAATTGGTTTTGAGATCCCCCGAGCCATGCATGGAACATCATTCTTAGCCAAATTTGGCTCAAGAGCATGCTCTTTCGTTATGTTAATTTCATAATTTGGCTCTTTTTTGCTATTTTTAACCATGGAAAAATTCTGAAAAAATTCACCAATTCCGGCCATTAAGGCCTCAGTTAAAGACTTGGTAGTGAGAGTTGATAACTCATCATTCCATTGGCGAATTTCCATATCAAGTTGATGAATTTCTCCAATTAAATGGTGTCTTTTTTCTTCCACCAAATAATATTGTAAGGGATGAAAATTTATTTCATCAAGAAAATGGATCTCTTCTTGAAGATCCAAAATTTCTTGTTTACGCCAATAAATTTCATCTAGGCTATTTGAAATGGACAAATCCAATTCATTTTCCATTTATTACACTTGACGTCCCACCGGGCGTGCCAAAAATTATTGACTTATTTTTCTTACGAAGGAAAATATCATAAATGCGAACGTGCCAGTAAGGATTGAAAAATCCTTACAGATTAAATTCAAGCCAATTATCAAGCGATTGCGTTGTCGGTTCTTTTGTCTCAACAAAGAGGACTTCAAAATTGCCAAGTGTAGAAAAAAGAAAAATTAAAAAAAGAATGAGGGAGACGAAGAAAGACGATTGAGTGAACAATCAAACTAATAATTACTTACCTCTACTTCTATGCTTTGAAAATGAAGTGCATAAAATGCTTTGAAAAAAAAATGATGAAAATAAATGTTTCGAAATATAAATCTATGTTAAACTACTCTTAAGATAAGGAAAATGACAAGAGATATTGAAATCAATTATCTTTGATTTGAATTCTGAATCATTACAATGTAGCCATTAATTGCTATTTATAGAGGAAAAAATACAGCAATAACTACTTAGTAACTACTCATTTCTTTTATCTTCATTCTTGTCTTGCCATGTGTCCTTTCACTCATCCACTTTGTCCTTCATATTCTCCATCATCTCCATAACTTTTTTTAACTTCCAAATGAACAAGAGGATGTCACGTGTCCTACAATTATATAAAAAATAAAATTACAGATTTATAGTGCTAACAATAATATATAGGAGAAAAAATAAGAAATAATGAATAGGTAATTAATAAAATTGTAAGAATATGTCATGTAGGATATGGGATTAATCTATGTGATAGTTTTTCTCAAATGTGAGATTGGCAAGCTAAATTCCTGGGGGTAGGACAAGTTTGTAAATATAAGGGGCCGTATGGCAACTTAAAAAAAAAACAAAATAAAAATCAAAAAGTCAAAAAATTGATTTGTCATTAACTAAAAAATTCACATATAACATCAACTGTTTCTCTCATAAAAAATAATTAAAAAATCTTTAAAAACTTTCCAAACACATTATTAGAAAGTAATAAAAGAAGCCAATTCCACCAAATCTCAGTATTTTATTATTATTATTATTATTATTATTATTATTATTATTTTATTTTGGTGAGAAACACAAAATGAATTTGAAGAATTTCCCTAATGAATTCTCATCTCTTTTTAACCTTTCAAGCAAATAAGAAGATATATATATATATATATATTGGATAATGCTATGGTATATATCCTTTTAAAAGGTGTGTATCATACATAAATTATAATATTTGTAAGATTAATTAGGAAAATTTAGTCAAAATTCTTCTATTGGACCATTATTTGGTGAAAAATGATAACCTAATTTATTTTTTTCATAAACCTCCTAAAAAGAGAATACATAATTAAGTAAGGATAAAGTAATTTTTTTTTTTCCGTTCGTGGACAATATTGCCAGAGTAATATATTGCTGTCAAACAGAATAACATATTACTATGAGACAGAATAATATGTTACTGTCAAATAGAGTAACATGTTACTGTGAGACAGAGTAACATATTACTATTACTGTTTACATCAATTTCAAAAGTAATAATTTTTTTAAAGAGAATTTCATAGTCAACATAGATCTTATTTGATAGATCTTGATGAGAGTAATCCTAAAAATATTAATTTTATTAAAAACTGATATTTACATCCAAAGTTATATTATTTTAAAGTTTAATATTTTGATAGTAGTGATATTTGTTGGACTTTTCAATTTTTTTTTTTGTACTTATCCTTAATGCATTAAAATTTTATTATGAGAGAGTTTTGACCAAATCTCGTGATTAATTATCACAAATAATTCAATCCTATAGCTATCATAACTATAGATAATAGAAAAAAGTATAATAAAAAAGTTCTTGGATAATAATTAAAACCATACTACAATCAACATTCCAATAAATCATAATTAAATTATAACTAACATTTTGATAGATCATAATTAAATACAATAACAATAGTAACTGAGAGGGTAATTTATATGCATAATTTGGGCCGAGCTAAGTCCATTTGTTTTAAGAATTGGGCCAAGCTAAGCAGACTCAGTTCGTTGGAGCACGCTTCCGGCCAAGCTAAGAGCTTCAGTAGCTCGGTCTTGAGATGTACAGACATTAGGCCGAGGTCTGGAACAAATAAACTAGATGTAATCAGCAGCTCGGATCGGGGTATAA